AAAAAAAGTTCAAGTTCAAGTTCAGTTTAATTTTGAACTAAACTTGAACTTGGCCAAAAGTTCAGTTCAGTTCAGTTTATAGGAACACTATTTTTAAGTACACTAAGCTTTTGCTTGATGATATAAAAGCTATTCATAAAAATTTTTATATATAATCGACATGCAAAGCAACCCAAGTATAAGTTAAAGGGTTGAAGATCTTTGTGTGGATATTGGTTATAAAGGAAAAATAGAGGATATTAATTCAAAATCAGTTTTAGAGGATCAATTAGCTAGATTCATTTGTGCAATAAAGTATAAAGATGGTAAAGAGTACCATGTGTCTTTCGTAAAAAATTGTATAGCTGCAATTTAGTACTATTTGAATAAGCATTCTGTTTTAGAAAAGCCTATAAATATACTAAACCCAAAAGTTTTTTTATAACTTTTATACTGTAATTAATGGAAAGCTAAAAATACTTTTTTCAGCAGGTCTAGATAAACATAATAAAGCAGATCAAGGATATCACAGAATAGCTTTTAGACAAAGTTTAAATATTTTGAACATTTTTAAATATTAAAATTGCTCAAAATTTTATTAAGACAATCTATTTCAACTTTCTAAGTAAAAATGTTTAAAATTAAATAAAATATATAATTATGTTATTTTAAAATAAATTTTTTAATTATTAAAGCTTAGATAAACTTTGAACACTTGAATATTTGAATATAAACATGTCAAAAAAAGCTTTGAATATCAAAAACGTACATCCCTGGGCAGATGGTCTAACTATTAATAAAGTTGATCAGATCCTAGTAAATTCTATAATACAGCATATATTTTCTGAGGGTTTATTATGTCGAATATTTTTTTATAATGTTATATTGTTAGCTTTATATGGTAGAAAGCATCAAGATCTTAAAGTTAATAATTTTGTGAAAAGGTATGATGGTGGGATAAATATTAAATTATTCAGATCTAAAATAAATCAAAGGGGATTAAGCAATAATAATGCACAAGCTGAAACAATTAGTTTGCCAAATATCAAAGAAATTATTGATGACTATGAACTTTATTTTACAAAATATTCAGCAACTGCTATTGTGAACTTTTATCTAAAACTATATACTGCAAATGATAGTAAGTAGTTATCAATTCAAAGATTTTTTTGAATATTCTACTATAATTAGTTTTTTTTTTTTTTTTTTTTTTGGCATGTCTTTCTACTGTTTTATTAGGATATTTACTAAGCAAAAATTACAAAAATTCTTAATTAGTTAT